TTGTGATATTTAGCATGGGATATTTATCGGATATCGTTCTCTTGGTTAACTTACGAAAGTATATTTCGAGACGTAAATTCTGATTACCCTCTTCGTCGACGCCTTTTTTGTTCTTGGGTTTCTTTGTTGATTCTTTACTGGCTGTCCCCATGGGATAAGAATACAGTTTTGTGTAAATAGGTCCCTCATCCAGTCTTCTGATGGTACCCACCACTGACGTGTTATATGGAAGAGCTTCGTTGGGGCTTGCGAGCAATCCTTCCTGGCCTTAAGCATACTTAGGAACGCAGCCCTGGCCAACGGTAGGGCTTCTGAACAATCAACATTAGTAAAATTGACATTAGGCCAAGTATGAAATGTGATGTGTTTAATTTGCGTGCTCCATTTAAGCTGACCTAAAGCTAGGCACAGCGATAGCCCTGCTTTTAATAGGTCAAGGCCAATTATCCCATCAAATGGTGAAAAGTCTGCTAAAATAAAAATTGTGGCTTTTGTGTTGAATAGGAGGCATTTTTCCCTGATTGTGGTGGCGCCACGGATTGGGTGTACTGAACACGGAATCTACTGGGCGAACGCCTTTTAACCCTTGTGGTCGAATAAAGTTCTTTGACGCGCCCGTGTCGATTAGAATCTTCATGCCTTTCCCTGCTACTCTTCGTCTGAAGACGGGTAGTGACGGGTAGTGACTCGCGACTGTCGTCGGAATAAATTTTCGGCGCAGCGTTGGCCGTGGCATACGATTCTTCGGCCTGTCCGTCGCCCTGCGAGATATGATTAACCCTTTGCTGTTTTCTTGGCCCTCCTGTGCGTTCAGAAGTGTTTGGTGTTCTACTTTGGAAGACCGGCGCCTGTGAGGGACGGTATATCCTTGAGCAGATGGGCCCAACATCCATGGATTTTGGAGCAAGGTTTTGCGGCGTATTATTACGCGGATTGAAATGGACCTGTGATTTGTGGAATCTGCTAAAGTGCGGGTTTCTACTGGCATCAGCCTGTGTCTACTACCGGGGTTGCCCTGTCTGGCTTACGGCATTGCCCCTTTGAAATTAGTTTGCGGTCTTTGTCCTCCTGACGTCTTCCGAATGTAGCCGCGAACAGGTATCTTTCGTGGTTCGATTCCACTTCTTGTGCCAAGGCTAGGGCGGACAGCATGTCTTTTGGCTGTGCCACAAAGGGCGTCCTCACTGAACTTGTCCCACAGCACCTTTGCCATAGGTGCCCCGTGTGTCATGTTAACTTTATTGGTCAGAAGTGTGCGTTTTTTCACCACTTCGTCATAATATTGTAGGAACCTGGACTAAGGGTACCGAGCTCTTGCTCGATGACATGCATCGGTCGCTTGTCACTTTACGTAAAGTCGGGGCGGGTTATGATTGCCTCAAAATTAAGCACCGCTCCAAACGAAGATAGCACGGCATCTGCGGAGCCCCTAATTTTGCTACTAATAATGATTACCGCCAGGTAATGTCTCCGCGAGACGTATGGGCAGACATTTAACTGCGTAGCACTGCACGTCATCCCTAATTTGTATTGCTAATTAACCGCCGCCTGTACTACATGCCTCAATTGTTCAGGGTCCATTTCTGTGTTCCTTAAGGTGCCTACTCTCCTGCTAACCGGCGCTGATTCTCTTTTGATATCTTCGTGTTCAGATTCTGAATCGCTAGGAAATAGTTTCTGGTTCCTATACCTGAGAATGTCGTCGAAAAATATGTGAAATCAGCGAAATCAGACGTTATACCGAATTTACAGTGTACCAAACGAATTGAACCACAGAGAGAAATATATCATCAATCAGATTCTAAATTCCGGCGGAATAAGTTGTTTTTAGCTTCTTAAAAATTCTTCCTAATAGGGAGCACAGTTCTGCGAAGTAATTGCAAAAAAAAATTTTCATGAAGCGGGGTAATACATATAATGCTTTATAAACTTGATGTGTTTCTCTTCTTATATTTTTATGCAGATAAAGAGAATACTTGGGAAAGGGCTTACTTACATTTTTTGTGTCGATTGCTTTTTTGCCAAATTCACAAAAATCCGCACTTTTCCGCACTGGGAAGTAACGGGTTGGGCCGATGTGCGATCTACAATCGCTATATCGGGTGGCTGGCTGGCAGTTGTGTTCTGTTTGATGAAGACTACGTTGGAAGGGTGACTGCCCTTCGTAACCTGCTGGCCTAGAGACTCAGTCAAGTTGTGAATTGTAATAAATGATAAACGGCTATTGTTGTATTTGATCAGAGTTTGTGCTCTTTATTCTTTGGATCTTCAAAACGAACTCAACATAATATTTCTGCCTAAAGCTAACATAAATTGGGAGCTCATAATGGTCCGGTCAAATGCTGTGTAACCGATTTGGCCGCTGCTGACTTCAAGCACTCGGTTAAGTTAACTAGTTAACTTGTACACACATTTGCCTGTTCGCTACAACGACTACTGCTGTCCCGTTTGACCCTTATTACTAACAATGTCCTCTGCCTTCTTCTATATTTTGTTCGTCATTTTGTACGTACCACGCTCAAGTCAAAATTGGCGAGATCTATAGTACTTATGGCTATGCCTCAGTTAACGAAGCTTAAGGTACTGATACTGAACCAAATTCCTGAAGTGCTTTCGGCGTTGCCATCTTCGGGAATAGTATGGTTCTTTCCAGTTTGATAGTGTGTAGTAAGTCTTCACAACATAGAATCATAATGCCTCATAATTATAATGCTATGTCGTCAGGTTCCGGAAACGAAGATTTCGAATCTCTTACTCATGTAAGGTCCCGCGCTGTACAAGACCATGTCATCTCTTAACTTAATTTCCACCGAGCTTCGGCTAGGTTGAGTTATTTTTCCTATAGATTCTATACATTTAGGATTTGGTATAAGCACGGGTATAATAAGTCTTCCTTTAGGCTTTTCCCAGATAAGCTGGATAGCGTATTGCTGTCTTCTGTTTTTTCTCCAATTCCAAGGTTTCGAAACAAGTTGACTGGAAATGTAATGATGAACATAAAGTAGTTTTATTTTGTTTGCAAGTCTTGGGCTCTCTCCTCCGGCAAACAAGTCTCGGGCATATACAAGTGCAGGTCTCATTCAATTTTGAAAAGGAGAAATAAAAAAACAAGCGAGAACTATGGACTTATGGACTATGAGATATCCGTTACTTAGCTAGTGAAAGTGCGAACGAGAAATGTAATATTTTTCTGGAACATCGGAAGTAGTGCGAAAATAAATAAGAGTGTGGCCGTGACAGTTTTACGCAATTTGTAGGCGGAGTGGGCGTGGCAAAAACTTTATTAGCAAATCGATAGAAATTTGGCAGCATTGGGCGGTTTTTGGGCGTTAGAGTGGGCGTGGCAAACAGCATTCGTCTACAAAAGAAGAAAGTTTTGTTTCGCAATAGGAGCCAAGATGTGGATTTCTAAATTAATTTATAAACTTAAGAATTCTCAGCACCACGTTCACTTGTTTATGTGAGAAGGTTTTGGAGAATTGGCTGCTTGTTACTGTGGACGTAGAGACGAAGCGCACCAGTATAGTATGCAAAGGAGACTAATATCCCCGCAATTCCATTAACTACACCACGTGAAACACCTCTAAGTTTAAATCTCGATCACTTAATCACCGCTCAATTTGTATGATAACTAGTAATGATTTTAACATTGGCATGTCCTAGGAAATCATCACTATGAAAAATATCACAAAAACAGCGCAATATCATCACATTTAATCACCGTCTTGTAAGCGCTTTTTAACTAGCAAATCATCGCCCGATTTATCACCTTTTCAAAAAGATTTGTATAATGTATTAAAACAATTTACCCTAAATCCTTAAACTCTCTGTGAGTAATATTTGTTGTTGCTTATAAAAGGAATCCATTACCTGGAATAATTAATGAATTTAATTTAATTTAATTACCATTTATGTTTTTTAGTAGCGATGAATTGTGGAACTGCAGGGTACAGGCTCAAGAGCGCTCTCTCTCTCTCTCTCTCTGCGCCTGGAGCCAGCTCTAGAGCCAGCACAAAAAATCCTATGGCGTTACGAATCTAATGTATTTGATCGATCTTGAATATCGATTAAAATATCAATTTTTGTGAGCATCGATTTTGTATCACACAGCAAAGGAGAAAGAATAGTATAAATTAAATTTGAACTGCATAAATAAATTATATTATTGTACATTTTTATTGTTTTGAGAAATTGAGCTTGATATCAGTATGGTAGGAAGAAGCGCGAATGGAAATGTATTTTTCAGATGAAAGATAAAATATGTGACAGTTTAGTGATGCATAAGTGTTTTCCTGTTTTATAGTTATATTTGGCCTTCTCGTCTAAAAACAATAATTTAATTTAGTAGGAGTGAATAATTGGAAAATACGTTATTGTGACTCTGAGGCAAAAGACGAAACTTAAAGGAATTAGAAATTTGAAAAATCAAATGTGTGGAATAATAAACTGAAAGCACTGTTTTGTTTTTTCGTCAGCTGGTTGGGCCCAAAGTACATCTTGCCCGGCAAATATTAATATACGAGTATGATGGAATGAAAACAAGAAATATATATCAAACTATGTTAGATGAAGGCTTCTCGGACCAATATTAATATACGAGTATGATGGAATGAAAACAAGAAATATATATCAAACTATGTTAGATGAAGGCTTCTCGGACCAACGTCGATAATTTAAGCAAGCCCGAACAAATGTTGCGAGAGGTTCTGACCCTTTAAAATGTAAATAACAAATACTACATGGTAACGCTGGGTTTGAGATAAAAACATGTGTTCAAAAATGAATGCAACACATGTACGGAAGCTGCATGTCTAACTTTGACGCCAGAAGGAAAAACTGAATTTAAAAGTGAATTACTGTTTTTTTTATCAATTTAATTGTGTGGCTATACTTAAATATTAAAAAATAAATTCATTCTGTGACTCTGTACAGAATTGACGACAATTAGAGTGATAAAAAATTTCGGTGGAAATCAGGTGTTATTAGAAAAATAAACTAGTTCCTGAACATGTATCTACCTAAAAAATCAAGTTAAATAACTTAGGGGAGGGCACACTAACTTATAACAATATCAACCACATGTTGCCTTTATTTATCAAGTTTGTTAGAATTGTGACACGTTAAGAAAGTGGGATAAGACTTCGTAGTATTTTCAAAACTCAAAAGGACATTTTTTTTTGGGATTTCTAATAACGACCTATGGATCAAAAATATTGTACAAAAGAGATGGATCAATTAATAACATCGTCTCTGAAAAACCGCAGACAACGTTCTCTTGGACTGCGTCTTTTAATATGTTACCTTAAGAATAGTAACATTAAATTAGAGAAAAATGTACAAACTTGGATGAGTTTATTAATTCAATCATGCAAATCACCTCAGTTACGTTCATATGGTGATTTGATATTTTCAGCCATGGGTAAGTTTATAATCCAGCAAAAAGTTTTGTAACGAAATCTAAAAAAAAATTTTCCGATTTGGTAGTTGTCTATTAGCATGAACCATGGCCAAAATAAATAGAAAACCCAAGTTGCGGAACAAATTAGTTTCGGGGCTCAACTATTTATACCAGTTACTTGTAGAGTAAATGGATATTCTTGATTCTTTGAAAAGTATGTAACAGGCAAAAGAAAACGTTTCCGACCATATAAAGTATATATATTCTTGATCAGGATCAATAGCTGAGTCAATCTGGCCATGTCCGTCTGTCCGTATGAACGCCTCGATCTCAGGAACTACAAAAGCTGGAATGTTGGATTAAGCATGCAGCTTCAAAAGTCCTAGACGATGCGCAATCTTGTTTGCCACGCCCACTCTAACGCCCAGAAACCGGGCAATGCTGCCAAATTTCTATCAATTTGCTAATAAAGTTTTTGCCACGCCCACTCCGCCCACAAACCGCCTAAAACTGTCCCGCCCACTTGTTTGAAAAAAGTTGTGATATATTTTATATGTATATCTCCTAACTTTCTAAAGATTTGACTAAAAACTTTTTGCCACGCCCACTCTAAAGTCCACAAAAAACTGTCACGGCCACGCTTTTAAAAAATTTTTAAGTTCATATTATTATTTTTTTTCCCCAATTTCTACCGATATTTCAGAAAATGTTGAAATTTTATCATTGTTTTTGCCAAATTCTGTCCCTATGCCAGAAAAAAAAAAGTTCCTCGTTTGCACTTTCAATACGTGAATAACGAGTATCTGATAGTTGGAGAACTCCTCTAGAGAGTTCTCTCTTGTTTTATAATATTTTCTGGTCTTAAAAGCTCAAGGATATAAATGTTAATGGAACATAAATATTTAAAAAAAAAGCCTATTATTATATTTTTAATTTTTATATTCACTTTTAAAATTTAAATATTTTTCACTTTTCAGCACTCTTAATTGACAGGTTGCAGAACGACGGTAATATGTCAAAAGCATTCGCATCTGCATATTTATATAAAGTTATTGAATGCTTATCCCACAACGAAATATATAAACACATACGTCAAACTATTGCTGCCCTACACACTATTAAGAAATGTCTCAAATATTACCCAAAAGGAATAAAAAATAAATCATCAACTATTAAAAATATATTATTACTATTAATAGACAACCAAAACAATGATGTTGTTTATCAATCAGGTGAATGTTGGCTTTTGTTACACAAGATTCACGGTACTTCCGATAAGGAACATGTTGGTAATATAACTGAATGGAAAGATTTCCAATTATTTTTACTTAGTAATATACAATATATTATAAATAGAACAATAGTCATGTCTGAGGAATCAGGTGACAGTCCTTCTATACCAAATAATTTTGAGGCTTTCACTTTTGTAGCTGTAAAAGATCCTTTTAAAAGGGCTTCACAAGGTTTTCGACGAATTTTTAACCTTATTGAATATCTAAAAATAGCAATAAGGTAAGATGTATGTATGTTTTACTGTCTGCAATATTAACCAAAATATTTTTAGAAAACAATTTGTTTTTAAAAAGTATATTTGCACACATCAAATCTTGGCTTTAATACAAAATGGACTGAGTGCTCATGTAAACCAACAACACAACTTAAGAATTGATCATGCATATATTGAGACATTTTTGCCGCAAATGCATATCAAATTATTGGAGCTTTTGGAAGTTGTCATTGAAACGTAAGTAACTGCCATTCGTAGGTACCGTAAAATGCCACATTGTAAAACAAAACGTATTACATATGTCAAAAAAAAAAACAAGAGAAAACGTCTGAATCCAGCTGAATGCTGGGTGAAGATTTTTTGGAATTTGACAGTGAAATGACAGACAAATATTAGTTCCGTAGAAATTTTCAAAAATGAGAATTAGAGTACGGATTTAGAAAAGTTCCAAGATTTTTATTTACAATTAAAAAAGTTCTGTTATATTCATTTATCTTTTAATTTATAGATGTTATACCCACCTCAGGATGGACTTTCGGCTTGTTCTAAATATTTTATTGGATGCTCTCGAAAAAAAAAAGAAATCGATGTTACTAGAAGCAAATTCAAAGGAAGTTTTGTAAGTACTACTAGCTATAAATTAAATTAAATTACTAGCTTTTATAAATTTTGTTAAAATTTTAATTGATCCAAAAAATTAAAGAATATGCAGACAAATAGTTCAACAATAAAGTTGTTCGTCTAAAATTGCTCAAGATGGCTACTCAACAGAAAAATAAGTTAATTGGTATTACTTTCTAATATAACGTTATTTACCGTCATTTGGAGACTGCGGTACGAAAAATTGGGCATGGCTGTTAGGTTGATAGGTTTGATAGGTTTAGAAATGCGTTCTTCACTGCGCCGAAAGATTTTGGCTACAATAGTAATACTCCTGCAACATTCAACAACATTTACAAGTTTTTTACAAATAATGTAATTTCTTCGATTTCTGCACGCAGCCTTTGAAGTCTTTACTGTATATTTTTTGAAGCTTAGTGCAAATTTTGTTGATGGTATAACAAGACGGAACCCGTCTCTTGAGTTGGAAAATAATTATTTATAAAACTATTCATTATTACTCATACGGAAATACTTTTAGAGAAGCTCTTTACGCTTCTATATATGATTAAAATATATCAATAAGGATTTAGCTCCTGAAAGCATCCACATCACAATGAAGTGATAATCTTCTGTTAAATATAAAAAAATCTTCCAGTTCCGTATTTTTCACTGTACTCCTCTGCATCCACGGTTCAACCGTTTTTTTTTAGCACTTACAACTGTCTGACTGCTTCGACGACTAAGGTTTTGTTGTATTGCTATCCAAAATTTACAATTAATTCCTGCTCAGCCCATTTAAATGCTGCATTTTTTAGTGCCTGCCAGCTTTGATGAATATCTCGAAATAAAGTACCATATAATGCCTAATTTTGTTTTTACATGTACAACAACTTTACATTTTTAGGAATATGCGTGTAGTTGTATATAGAGTTATATCCTTATGGTGCTCTACTCTACAAGAAGGAAGCCATTGCGAAATTATTGAGGATACTCTTGTCAAAGAATTGTTGGATGATATATTAACCCAAATCCCAACTTCAACTATAAGTGTAAATATTGTTTTAATACTGAAATACGGCTATGACAACACGTTGCAGAGTTCATGTATTTTTTTTATATGTACATTGTACAACCAACAATCCTGACTCGAGTCAGCCTTACTTTAATTTGTATATTTATCTTTTGAGGAGGCATCGATGACTGCGTTGCCTTTCCAAACGTTTTTTGGTTAACAAATTCTGAACTATTGAGAATAAAAATGGTAATAAATACATTTTAAGATGTAGTCGAACTTACCGAAAGATAAACTTGGCTAGTTCAACTGATGCCGATAAAAAAATTAAGTTTTATTTTTAAAGTAATCATCAATTCTGCTTAATATGTCACTCGTAATTTTATTTTAAATATTTCTGAAGCGTTTAAAATAAGTAAAGTTTAAAGTTTTTTCAGAATACGAGAAACTGGGTTTCGGGATTGTTCTGTTTCATTGTTATTGGATATTTGTTTTCCTATATTAAAAATAATTATTTATATACATAAATACTTCTAATAAACGAGCTTTGCAATGTATCATCATAACCGTATAAAGCATTCAGAATTCATTTTAATATATATATATATTTTTAATTCAAACCAGGAAAGCGAACCAAACTTGAAACGATCACCTGAAAATCTATTTTCGATGCTGAAATTTTCATTAAGTAATGAAGACTATAATGTGCTCCGTCAGCAAGCACACTCTTGCCTACAAATGTTGTTGTTATCGTCTGGTTTTTTGATAAAACAACAACTTTTAAAGGAAAGTATTATTCACGAGAGGTAACAAGGTATCTTGACTAAAGCTTTTCTATTACAGGAGGTGCACAACACCTTATTGGGAATTTGTGTTCAAATGCATTCTCATCCTACCAAAGAACCACACATGTGGAATATTTGGAACGGGCGCCTGGAAGTTTACAAGACTTTCACAATTTTATTAAAATTGCGAAACTATGGATGTCCTACGCCTTCTGAAATTATTATGACTCTTTTACACGAATCCCGATTATTTAATGATAACATGCAACTTAAGCAAAATAATAGTTTAAACTTCTTGGAACTAATGCTTCATCCTCAAAAGGCGGATATTCACTTTAAAAGTGTTGACAATTTTAAAAATATAACTTTAAGGCACGCGAACATTTCGGATACGGAAAATATCGACTTTTCAACAAATCAATCGAAAAATGGACACCATTTGTTAGAATCTTTCAATAGTGCCGAAGACTCATTTTATAATAAAGAAAGTCCACTGATAACGACTTCTAAAACAATTGAAAATAATGAAGATGACCAAAAAGACACTGGGTATGATAATTCGTTGAGTAAAGAGAAACCTTTTGAAGTAGTTTGCAAAAATCACTTAAAAGATTTAATTGCTGAGGACAAAACAAAAAATATTCAAGAAATATCAGATAACCCTTTGCTCTTATCAAAAAACAACAGTTTGGAGAGTTTAGAAGAACATCCTCAAGGAATTATAAATGACATTAATCTGAACTCTGATTTAAATTCATTCAGTTTCAGTGCTAAAAAATCTGTAGAAATGTTTTCTTCGAACTTGGACAAATTAAATGATGCTAAAATGATAGCCGACTTGGAAGCAAAATTCGTTGGTGAACTTATCTAAAAATAAAGATTAGTTTTGTACACTTAGTTTTTTTGCGTATAACTGTCTGCGTAATTTTGTTTTTTCGCTGAATTATACTTCAAAATATTAAGTATATGAACTTCTTTTTGCTGCAAGAAACTGCATTTAGTTTTAACAGAACTGACATTTTTCGTCGGTATACGTCAGGAAAAACGTAAATAAAAAAATTACTATTTAAAAATTTGTATGCTAATACTTTTCTACTTTAATCAAAGATCTGATTTTAAAATTTAATCAGATATTCTTTGACTGTCATAGCTTTTACATTAGTGCAAAAATGTACAAATCCAAGATTGTTAAACTTGTTCTCGAAAACTTTAATAAGGGTCTATTTCCAGGCCTAATAGCGTTTTTTTATATCCCCTTATTAACGTGCAGTCACGAGAATAGTGGAAGTGTGGAAAGCAACAGGAGACCTGGTTCGCGGTTCTACCGCATAGCATTGCTTCGCGTGAAGATCTGGCCGCCTATTCCGCCACCACCCCTCTCCCCTTTTCCAGGATTCGCAGGGTGACGGACGCTGCGTACTCTGAAGCCGCCTCCCATGTCTTTGGCTTCTCCAGCATAATTTGTACCAGTGACTCGACACTGAACCTGGATTCTGCTACCTCTTCCAGAGCTTTCCGCTCATGGTGATTTTTTTGTTTTTAATAATATATATAAGCAAAGCAAAAGCCATTTGAGTCTTTGTAACATATTGCTAGAACCGTGCCAAGAAAATCAATTGTTTGTGGTTTTAGCCAAGAAACGAAAACAGTGTATTATATGTTTTCATTAGACATCTTAACTTATATGCGGCCATTCAATAGAATCAAAACAAATCGAAATATTTCTCAAAAATGTGCGCGTGAAAACGTTATAGTCGATTTTCCCAAAAGCCAAAATTAAATGAAAAAAAATAAAAGATGTTTCAAATGTGTGGGCGTTGAATGTGTTGTCAAATTGATAAAAATTTACAAGACTAACAAAAAAATAGCAAAACATTTTTCAAAAATGTGGGCGTGGGTTTGTATGCGTGGCAAAGCGAAAGAAATTTACAAGACTCCAAAAAGAATGACTAAATTCAACAAAAAAAAATTAAAAGTGGGCGTGGCAGTTTTTGGCGTGGCAAACAGTTTTTTGGCAAATCGATAGAAATTTAGAAGACTAATAAAATAATTAAAAAATATCTTAACATTTTCCAAGTCTTGGGCGGTTTGTGGTCGCTACCGTGGGCGTGTCAACATGTGCGCAGTTCCTCAAATGGCCAGCTCGACTAGAAGCACCTCTGATGTAGACAGTAACAGAACTTCAAGAGTTTAAGCGAACTACTTCTGGTGTTAGTATAGATAAACTTAATCAAAGAAGTTTTGATATCAACTTTTATGACGAAAATTATTTTGCACATTATTCGGCTCCTTTCAATATAATATGGCCTGGAAAATTAAAAAAAACGCATGCCGGGTTTGAAGAAAATACTGAAAAAGAATCTGGTTGTGCGAAAACTCGATCAGAAGATAAATAAATTTAATGCTTGCTAGAGAGCTTTTTTGTTTTTTAGTTTTAATATTAAATTTTTGTTTTTCAAATAGAAACCTTTTTTGTTTTTTAGTTTTCATATTACATTTTTGAGAAAGATCGGAGATTTAAAATAAAAAGAGTGCTCCTTTTATTTCGACAGCACCATGACATTGATCGGCTTATGTACATTTTATTTATTATAACGAATGATACATTGAAAAATAATTTAAATATTTGTTCAGTTTTACATTTTTTAAAATCATTATATTTTAATCAAAAGGGTTAGAAGAAGTAACATTGTTTTTTTCATGACCTCTGTAGTCAATACTATTTGCCTCGTCTTTTAATTTTTGTATCATACTTTTAGTTCCTAGCTTATTTCCTATAGAAACTATTCTAGCGATTTCTGCAATAATATCTGATGAATCATAGCAAGGAGTGGAAGAATTTTTCGGGTTTAACAAATTTCTGGTTTTACAAATAATACATAATAATTTTTCTTGACGTTTTGTTGATTCGTAATTGAGGCAGTCTTTATGAAAGGAATGTTGACAAAGAAAATAAATGGACTGCATACTTAACATTTCATGACAGATGTCACATTTATCATTTCGAAACTCGATTGGATTGTTTGTATAGAGAGATAGCATGGATCTCGATCTCTTAATCTTCTCTTTATAATTTTCAACTAAGTGTAATTCATTCCCGGAATCAACTATACTTCGCATTAACTGATCCCTAAATATTGCCTTTATTTGTAACGATCTTATTTCTTCATTAGAGCAAGAACTTTTTAACATCATGAGAAATGATCTTTTACTTAGATTTCCATTTAAAGCAACATCTGTATTATTTTCCATTAAGTTATAAATACACTTATTTATTGTATCGTTATGCATTATTGGATTGCTCTGGATTCTTTGTATGACATTTAAAAATGTATAAAGTCTACATACAATCAAAGTTTTGTCCAATCGCAAGCACTTCGTCTTTATAAAATCTGAGACAAAATGTGCACTAACTTTTTCTCCTTGCCATTGTGTGAGATATAAGACCAGCAAATAAAACAATAATTTTTCGTCACAGCCTGGAAAGGCTTCTATGATCTTGGCTAGCATGTTAGCGCAATAATCGTTATAATCTGCCAAAATGGAACAAAAAGAAAGAATATTTTTTGGTTCTTTAACATTTTCAAAAGTTATATTATTTACATAAGTAGTGGGATCAACTACTAGAGTTGCTGGTCCATATTCTAATAATTGGTGTAATAAATGCTCTTCTTCAACGGGGACCTGATCTGAACCCTGCTGATGTACCCTTTCGAAATACATTTTCGATAAGATTGAAAGATGTTCTATTTCCGGGGGGCTTTTGTAGTTCTGGGGATTATCTCGCTGCATTTTATTCTTTATTTCTTCACGTTTAATACAGCATTCAATGAGTCTTGTATGGCAGCTTAAAGACCTATTCTTTTTTTTCCATTCAGATAAGTAATTTAATAAATAATTGTTGTATCTGGAATATAAAAGTTTCGAAATGACAGCATGCGGTTTAATAAAACCAATAGTTTTAATAAATTCTTGAGTAGCTCTACTGATGTCGCCTTTTTGTAGTAAGTGATTTCCATACTGAAATCGTACCATAGCAGTTTCTGGCGATGAAGTAATGCCTTCTCGATGCAACAATCTTAATGCAATATCGTACATATTTTTTTCAACTAAGAGGCGAATATTAAAATCTATGCTATTTAGTTGTAACATTAAAATGTTGCAAGCATTTGCTTCACGAGAATTGGTTACAATGTAACAAAAATCGCTTTCGCTGATTACATACAACGATTCTTGAAATTGCTTTTGAAAAACTATTATTTTGTTTTCCGTGTCTACAACAATTAGTGTCGTTATGCTTTGCTTTGAGTTTGATTTTTTGGCGCCGACGATGAGATAATGGCCTACCCAAGCCAGACATTCCTTTGCTCCTTCGATAGCAAAACAGGGACCCCTTCCCTCAGGGGTGTAGCAATAAACAGCATCAGCTCGTCCCACTACCAACATCGAATCATTTAAATCTCCGCTTCCAGCCTGGCGCATTCTACTGCGGTAATTAATATTGCGTTTATCATTATCAAGGACAAATTTTGTATCCATAATGCATTTCTCTTTTAACATAAAACAATAAACACCTTGAACACATGTTACAAACATTATTTGAGTTGTATCCAAAGGTTGTGTTTTAAAGTCGAAATGAATTCCAATGACTGAGTATCCAGAAACAGTATGTTGGCGAATATTTGCAGAAAAATTTTTCGTAATTTTGCCATAATGTAAAAGAATGTCACCGTTCTCAAATCCTATGGCCAACGCAAACAATTTATCGTCAACGACGTCTGCGTTTATGCATAAAAGTGTACTTGAGGCTTGAGTATATGCATATGCAATTATTGGAGCTCCTTGCTTTTTTGTTAATCTCTTTAGGTCAAATATATCAATGTGAATACCATTATTGATATCCGGTGTGATAGTCGCAAGACAATTATTGCTGGTAAGGGAACAAAGAGCTACCGCATTCCGCCTGGATTGAGATTGAAAGGTGATGCATTCCCAACTCGAAAGGTAAATATGAATATTTTTGTTTTTATCGCAAACTACTAATTTTATATTTATTTCTTCAGTGCCTGATTTGGATTCGTGAAAGCAGTAGCACGATATTTCTTCCGTATTCGGAAATTTTACAAATGGTAAGGCGATTATATTAAAAAGATCCACCTTTTTCCATTCCAACACACTTATATCCATTTTGTCAATAGTTTCATATTATTATACAAAAATACTTTTGCTTGAGTACATTTTTTTTTAAAGTGGACATTTGTGTCATTTGAAACACTTCAAAATGAAATTTTTTGTATTCTTTATATACAAATTACACTAAGCACATCCCAAGGTAAAGACTTTAATTTTATATGATATGTTATATTTTGGAAAACTAATTATTACCACAGTCATAATTATATGTTTGACAATATGTTTTGTTTAACCCGTCCTGGCCCTCCCGAGATTTTTTTTATTGTCTCATAAGATGCGACTGTTGGTATGAATGTCATTTCATAACGAGTTTGTCAAAATTAGTGGAGCGCGATATAATATGGCAGCTAACTGGTAGTAATAATAGTTAAAATAGTCCCAGCTCGAATCGGCGACAACATTGCAGTTCTTGCCTCTCCTGCTATTTGACGCTATGCATACAGATAAAGAAATTTATTTAAAGTTTAGTTGGCTTTGGGAATAAATCGCGATGGTCATAGCCTCGCTCAAAAATTCTACACGGCAGCAACCGGTGGCAGCATCAAAATATATCAACTTGCAGCTTCAAACCAACAAAGATTCTTTCATCCTTTGATACTCATCTCAACTTTAAGGCCATAATCAACCGCTTAGATTTTACATATGATAAACGAACAGTGTATTTAATACAGCAAACTCCGCCACTATTATAAAGAGGTAAAGATATTCATATAAAAGACTTTCATACGATAACACCGTAGCCGCACCACTGCATGAAAAATACAGAGCAGACTCGCTATGCGTATATATAATATTTCGGAGACAAGAAAATCTGCTGTCATATTCTTTTCTCCGCAAAATAAGATCAAGCTCAAGTATTGGAAATTTTTAGTATAAAAAAAAAACCAACAAAAAGCCAACCTTATGGACAAGTTCAAAGCAATTTTCCAAAACAACAGTCAGAGACAGGCAAATAGAATACCAAACAATATCAGTGAAAGGTATACAGGACGGAAACAACAAAGAATTAACCATATAGTGTAATATAGTTCATAGATAAGATAATTAAACTTTTGATAGACACCGGCCTCCAAGAATTAAAACATTGCTTGTCCGTCCGTCTGTCCGTATGAATGTCGAGATCCCAAAAATTATAATAGATAAAAAGATTGAGATTAGGCATGCAGATTCCAGAGACATAGACGCAGCGCAAGTTTGATAAATGATTCTGCCACGCCCAGCCTTTTTTTTATTAGTTGTGTAAATTTTTTAAAATTTTCCAACATTTTTTTTGCCTCGCCCACAAACCGCCCAAAGCTGCCTTTTGAAAATATTTTAATTTAATTCTAATTTTTTAATTGATTTTCGCTGTTTATACCGATATTTCAGAAGATGAAGAAATTTATCGTTCGCACTTCCACTAGTTGAGTAACGGGTAACTGACAGTCGGGGAACTCGACTATAGCATTCTATCTTGTTTTCAAACTAAATTGCATAAAGCTACATCAAAAAAACTGTTAAAAACCTTTATCTATACCAGTGCTAGCTAAAGTTCACCCACATCAATACTGAATTTTCAATTGAATGTATTACTCATAAAAGGCATATATATACTCGTATATTTATACTATTATTCATATAGTAAAGGAAATACTTTTTCTAATTGTATTGAAAATTTATAAACAATTAGCAATTTAGAAAACTTTTGCGTTGGTGCTTTCGCATCTTTATTTTCATTCCTTTAGCTCAGTAGCGGGAATCAAATAATCGATAAACTCGACTATAGCATTAAACCGAACATAACACTTCACTACACCAATTCGTAGGTCCTCATCATCTGAACGGACCTCATCACATCTAGAACAACTAGAACGCTGATCTATGTTCTTATGATTAAGCTTAAGACTAAGTCCCCCTAAATCTTCCTCTAACCCTGTGCGTATCGTTTTTATTAATACCTGTAATCCTTTAAGAACGTTTCACTCAAAGTCGCAAATTAAAATCCCAAAATCCAAAATAAACAAAGTGACTCTTGCGACATGGAAACAAACCAAAACAACCCAATTCCGCCACTAAACAATTTTAATGTAAAAAATATTGCAATGAAACGCTAGAGGAATAATAACTCCAATCACTCATAGAACAAATAAAACCACATAATATTGGCCGTCAGGAAACCCATCTATACCATTTAATATCTCTCCCCATTCCCATAAGCTTTAAAATCAAATTCAGTCGAAGGCTCAGCCATCCTAGTTTACGAATCAATCTTCAAAACTCAACACCAATTAAAGCGATTGGAATTTTAATCAGTTCCAAAACCAAATTTACCATAATATCTACTAACATTTCAACTTGCTAAACGTACTTTGAGGAAATAACTTAACCACACCTGTCCTAGTCTAAGCAGACTCAGACTATATTTTCCTAAACGACTAATCACCGACTACAGCTCTCGACAACTTACAGCACAGTCACCCTAATAGATCTTTCTCTGGCCTCTGCTGACCGTTTTTTGGAAAACTACTGGCCGGAAACAAAATGGAAAGTTATGAGTGACCTCAATAATAGCGACCACTATCCATTCTTTTTTCAATATTCCCTAGCACTCCATGGTCATCGTTCTATTGCATATAAACACTCCTTAATAAATCTGACTGGAAACTAGCAAAAAAATAATACATTTCAACTCGTTCATATCCTATTATCCTATTTAACTTTTGCACATCGTGCTCAATCATAGAAGTGTTTTGACTCATTTGTTTTTTTGTTTGCTTACACACGCTGGTTTATTATATTTTTGGATTTTTATGTGAGTTTTGCACTAAACCAATCTATGGTAGATACGCATCTAATTATTTGGGTCGTTGGTTTTATGACCTGAGTATGTAAGTCAGAATCAAGCGTTTATGCAAGCTGTGATCTTCCTTGTGATGAAGACTTGGTCTAGTTTCCCAGGTTAAGCAATAGATGTCGTTACTTTACATTACATTGTAAACCACTTACTCTTTTCTAATATTTATTTTATTTCTTGGACCCTAACATCTTATCCGAGACAAATTACTAAATTAGTTTCAAATAATATATGTTAACCGCTATTATCATTACGCTGTTTCACACTATCAATAAAAAAAAATCCATATATTCTTGAATTCAAACAAATCTTATTGAGTACAATTTTTAACCTTTTTCCCAGATCCTAAATATTTTCACAGCGTAAATTATAGAAAATGTCTTTAATTCAAAACTTTTTTGAAAAATAAAAAATCAGATGCTATTCAGCGTCGTGGCATCAAAGCCCTGTAATTGTATATAGTCAATTTCGTTAATTAATTTTATCATGACATGTCTGAAAATATGTCATTAAGAAATCTTTGGAATACTTGTGGGTCAGTTTTTAAGGCCATGGGTATCCGCTCAAATTGCCCTAATGGCGTAATAAAAGATGTATATCTTATCGATTTGATGTAAACAAACAGAAAATATCCATATTTTAGATCCAATTTCGTTAGTACCGATTTTTCTAATAAAATTTCTAAAGGAACATCGGATAATACACATTTTCCACAATTTTATTTACTATTTTAAAATTTATAAGAAGTCTAAGCACTCCGGATTTCTTTTTCAATAAAATGATAGGGGAGGCGTACTCCGGCTTACTACATTGAATAGCCTTAGTTTTGTTATATTTTTTAAGTTAAGTTTAAGTTAAGTTAATTTTAAAAGTTATTCCAGCAGCGCTACGTTATCAGGTATTTGTCTACGTTGATGACCTGCTGGTCTGCTCACCTACTTTTGAAGGCCATGGGCATCCGCCAAAAGCTCAAATCGCCCTAATGACGTTATAAAAGGTGTATATCTTATTGATTCGTTGTAAACAAACACATGAAAATATCCTTGTCTTAGATCAAATTTCGTAAATACCTTTATTTCCAATAAACTATCTAAAAGATCATCGGATAATACAAATTTTCCACAATTTTGTTTAATTTTCTAAAATCTATAAGAAGTCTAAAGACTCCGAATACAAAAGAAATAAGTAAAGAAAGATTCTAACCAGAAAATTATACCTTTAAAAACTTTTGAATGGTCATGAACCATAAGATGGAATTTATGGAGGCACTGATATTTACGGTCGTCACGGTAAAAAGTTCCCTCGCTGAACTCGTAGAGCGATCTAATAAAGTTGACCAATGAGTTCCCGGAAATCGACCAGAGTCTCCATTATCAGAATATGCTGGAGATGAGCGCAGAAGAATTTAAAGTGGCATCATGCTAAAAACTTCTCAGTGTATTGTGATGTTAAGATGGTGTGGGCGGGCAGCATCAAAAGCGAACTGAACTAGTTGATGGACCACCGTCGAAGGAATACCAGCACAAAACTTGCGGGATCAAGCCTGGATACAATGCTTTTCAGATATAATAAAAATTCTTTGAGCGTCTGCTGGGATCCGACTGAGCAAATCGAATGAACTAACTACAATATAAAGCGACAAGAGAGGCTTCCTTTGCAGTAACTGCAACGTCATAGGATACCTCGCAAAGGATTGTCGAAAGCCTGGATCTTGCTATTCGGCTACTTTGCAGTCCAATGCGAGGAAAGAAAACTAAACAGTGAATATAATATGGAAAATAGTTTAAAATTTATGTGCACAGTCAAATTTTATTTTCTATGGGTGCATTGAAGACCAGGGCGGTTCAAAATTCTTAATAAAAGGCTAAGGTACAAGAAGTACAATATTTTGGCTTTCGTAGAAGCCAAATAAAAATATATGGACAACTGTTTACTATGTTTAAGTAATAAATTAGTGAATAAATTGCTACGTTAAGCTGCCCATAAGCTTTAAAATCAAATTCAGTCGAAGGCTCAGCCATCCTAGTTTACGAATCAATCTTCAAAACTCAACACCAATTAAAGCGATTGGAATTTTAATCAGTTCCAAAACCAAATTTACCATAATATCTACTAACATTTCAACTTGCTAAACGTACTTTGAGGAAATAACTTAACCACACCTGTCCTAGTCTAAGCAGACTCAGACTATATTTTCCTAAACGACTAATCACCGACTACAGCTCTCGACAACTTACAGCACAGTCACCCTAATAGATCTTTCTCTG